AAAGACAAAAAAGTTATAAATATTTAAATATAAATCTCCTATTGATTTAATAATTATTATATATATATGTTTTTAACTTTTGACACCATGGCCATGTATTAGTTCTTGAAAATCCCTTCGGCAATATCCCCTTTGCTTAGCAACTTTCCGTTGAGCATTTTGAGCTAATTTATAAAAGTCAATTGTAAAATCAGTCTATATTAAAAATTATTTTCTCGTTTCAAATTAAATGTTTAGTTTAATTTTCTTTAAAATACTAAAAAAATCTTTAAATTATTGTAAACTTCTATATTTTTTATTATAGTCAAATAATTTTTTTTATTTATATCCAAATAAAATTTTATTTCGAATAAAAGATTGATTAATTTAAATGCTTATTTATGTATAAATTAAAAATTAAAAATTTATTTGGATATAATTAAAAATTGATAGTTTATTTAAATGTAAATTAAAGATTAATGATTTAAATATTAATTTATAAAAATATAAGAATTTATTTAAATAAAGTGATAAAATTTATGTTTTTTTAAAATTCAAAATAAGGCTTTGAAATTGAAAGTTTCAATATATACTTATTTTTTTGTAAGCATACAAAATTTCTCTAAAATAATTTCTTTTAATGTCAATCTGCTCTTCCTCTTCTTCTTCGTCTTCTTCTTCAACAGCTAAAGCTTGGATAGTTCACAGCATTCTAGCTGGCACAGCAATTGCCATAGCCATTGGTGCACGTGCTTATCTGGGTCGGGCCAGGAAGTTCCGAACCCGCGTCGTGGGCGTCATACCCGCCAGGTTTGCCTCTTCTCGGTTCGAAGGCAAGCCTTTGGTTCATATCCTTGGGAAACCCATGATCCAGGTACTCTTTTGTTTGAAGTCCTCTGATTTTATCTAAAATTCCAATTTTCTATGTGCCCTTTTTTGTTGCATTTGTTTTGGTTTGTGGTTTTCCGAGAAATTCGATATGGGATTTCGATCAATGTAAATTATGAGATTAAAGAGTTAATTTTTAATTCTAATGTTTTGAATATGTGGACAGAATACTAGACAAGAAGAAAAAGATCAAATTTTTTATGTGCAAGCATGTTATAGTTTAGTTATGCAATGAACCATTGTTATTAATATTACAATTTTGATTAGATTCCTAAGACAAAAAGGGGATAAAAATTTCTATATTTGAGAAAAAATAATAATAAAAGAGAGGCGTTTAAATTTCTTTGTGATCATATGTAGGATCATTAATGTGTTAGCTGGAAGATGGGCTATATGAAATAAGGAATAAGTTGAACCATCTTTGAACTTGGAAATTCCAGTTTGTCTAATCGCAATCGATCTTCTGATATTGGTTAAAACTGTGGGTTTTTTTCGTATGTAGGAAGGACTTTATAGGTTATATGTTAGTTTCCATTGATTAAAAAATCCTTTTGTAGATTGTAGGAGCTTATTTGTACGACAAATCAAGCATGGCACCGACTTGCCTACATTTAATTTACATGAAGTTTTATTAGAAGCTTTTTTCCGAGATGCTGGAGAAGAAAAGTTGGTTTTCCCAAGTTGATGTTTTCATTGCCAAATTTTAAGCATTTCCGTCCTTTGTGAAATTTGATGATATTACATGCTTGTATCTTACTGACATTTGTGTTGTTATTTAACAGAGAACTTGGGAAAGATCAAAATTGGCAACCACATTGGATCATATAGGTATGTTTGCACCTTGAATTCCATTTAATTTTATGGTGGTTCAAAAAACTTTTAGGGGAAGGTCCAAGATACATAAAAGATACTAACTGGAGACAAAAATATGAGAGCTGGGGTAAATTCAAACAATGTGGTATGGCAGTAGCTAGACAATACAGAGGCTAGGCAACTGCATGACATAATCTAAAAACGTGCTTTTAGGTTTTAATGCAATGATTGATGACTGAAATTTTCATCTTGGTTCTGTCTTGTTTATCACACATCCTATTGGTATAAATTGCTTTTTTTGCCTGTAGAAGGCATAAAAATTTGCTTGGTATTGCAATTGAATCATGCAATATCCTTGTTATTGGTGATTTATACTTAAAGATTAATGTTATGAACAAAATATGAGAGCATCAAAAATAGGGATTTACAGGTGATTGCTTCTCACCTTTGAATGGCCTTTGTCTCACGTTGCATTATATAATATCTGACTTAATTATTTCTTTTTGGTGTAGTTGTGGCAACAGATGATGAAAAGATTGCAGAATGCTGTCGAGGATTTGGTGCTGCTGTGATAATGACATCAGAGTCTTGTCGAAATGGTAGGAGCCATGGTTATCATTATGTTTCTAATTTTCATGCTATACTTGATCCATTGACATATAGATCCACTCTTTGGTAACTTATAGGCACCGAAAGATGTAATGAAGCGCTTGGAAAGCTAGAGAAGAAGTATGACATTGTTGTGAATATTCAGGGGGATGAACCTCTTATTGAACCTGAGATAATAGATGGAGTTGTTAAAGCTCTGCAGGTTCATTATTCTAAGTTTCGTCAGTAGATTAATATTGGTTCTATTGCTGTAAAGTTAATGTTTATATTTGTAGTTTTTTGTTTTATTTCTGTGATATATCTTGTTCCTCGTATAAGTGCTTATTGTTTTAAATCGTTTCAAATGGTCTATTGGTGTTGCAGGCAGCACCAGATGCAGTGTTTAGCACCGCTGTCACCTTTTTGAAACCTGAAGATGCTTTTGATCCAAATAGAGTGAAATGTGTGGTAGATAATCGCGGTTATGCTGTTTATTTCTCTAGAGGACTCATACCATTTAACAAGTAAGATTATACATCTATATTTGTGTGTATGTGTATTTTTAAGTGTTACATATTTTATTTTAATAGCATTTGCACTAATGTATTTGTTGACTGACTTGATATAGATCAGCGAAAGTCAATCCACAGTTTCCTTACTTGCTTCATCTCGGAATTCAGGTCTCAGGATGGAATTTTGCTATAGTTTAAAATTAAAAATAAATATGTTTTTCCTTTGTTTGTTTAGTTGATGTTACCGAATTTTATGTTCAAACAGAGCTATGATTCAGAGTTTCTAAAAATATATCCACAGCTTCAGCCTACTCCACTGCAACTAGAAGAGGATCTGGAACAGCTTAAAGTCCTTGAGAACGGCTATAAGATGAAGGTATGACAAAATCCTTTACCATTATTTAATCCTTTTGCCGGTAAGATAAAAATATAGTATAAACCTCATATGCCACTTCCCATGAATGCGACCATTCTGTTGTTTATCACATTTAGACCATTGTTTTTTTGGTACAAAGGAAGTCGTAACCTGGGCATAGGAAAGGGATTGTAGGCACCAGGATGGTTTGGATGTCACCTCTTAAAGGTGGCTGCATGAACCAATTATACTAAGTCTTGGGTTAAACCATTGTTTTCATTATATCACACTTGATATAACAATGTGTCGTGCTGTTAAAACTTTGAAGTTCACTTGTCTTATATCCTGTAGGTTTAAATAACTTACCAAATATAACCTGGTGTCATACTCAAGCATTCACATGGCCCACAGCTATAGGCTAAGGTTACGTTTGGCACATAGAATTAGTTGAAAGATATGATCCTAATCATCCTATCACATGTTTGTTATGCACTTAAACAAAAGGATTGAATTATTGAAAAGATTAGATATCCTATGCCAATAGTATAACTCTATCATTTGGAAAAGTAAGGGATTATTTTTAATTCATGGAATTAAACTTACATGTCTTATTATACCCTTAAAATTTATATCAATAATTTAAATTGTATAAACTTTGAAGAAGGATAATTTTGATCAATAAATTAATTATCCTATCTTAATCTTTGCACATATCAAACATAAGATAGGATGACATTAGTTAATTTAATTTTATTCATAATATTATCTTATCTTATCATAATTTTGTATATCAAACATGACCTAAATCTTTCTTTATGTAACTGATATTCGCGATGGAGCCATCCTCACACGGCTGAAGAATGGAGGGTATTTCGTATTAAAAGACAAATACACCTGTTTTGCTGCAGGTCATAAAGGTTGAGCATGAGACTCATGGAGTTGACACACCTGAAGATGTGGGGAAGATAGAATCTCTAATGCGTGAGAGAAACTTGTCTTAGTTCAAAACAGAATCCAAATCAGACATTGTAATTGAATCTCTTTTGGAATAGGTTACACGTTTTTTCACTTGCATTTTTTTAGGAAGGAAAATGAAGGAATTGAAAAAATTTTGTTCTAATTTAACCATTTGTTTTTTTTTTTTTGTATAAATGAAGGATCAATGGAAAAATAGGAAAAGGAATTACAGAAATTGAAATTTAAACTTTGTATTCGATAAATGTTATTTTTTAAATATGATTGAATAATTTAATCATATTGTTTACCTAAGAATGAACTTCAAATCAAAGTGTGCATGCGGGTATGATTTTTTATTAAATTATGATTTCTAATATTTTTAGATAAAAGTATCATTTTTTAAAAATGTAAATAGTAAACCTTTTACAATTTATTAAATTAGTTATTTTATCTTTAATTAATGATTTTCTTATTAAAAATTAGAATATTAGCTAATTTTTATTTATTTTCTTATTAACATTAAATTTTTTTATTAAAGTAGACTTTCTTTAATTGGTATTTTTCTTATTAAATTAAAAATTGACTAATTTTTCTATTTATTTTCTTATATTTATGTATTTGAAACAATTCTTTTTTTTTTAATTTTTACTTTTATAATCTCAAATTTTAATTGGTTACGATATATTGTTTGCTATAAAAGAAACATTGAAGCTTAGGATTTCTCATCTTTACTTTCTTTGGTAAAATATTTTTCGAATGAAAGTATCTAATAAAATATTTCAATTTTTCAATTAAGATTCATTTTATTTTATTTTATTTTGTTTTTTTATTGTTTTTCGTAAAAAAAATAAAAAACAACGATCCGACTTCAGTTTACTCGTTACTAATTTGTTTTATCTGATTTAGTAAATCCTTGTAAATGCCACGGTGGCACTGTACTATTCTAGAAGCGTCCACACCAGAAAATTTCTACCTGAGCAAAAATTTATTTCGAAACCCTCACTCTCTTCGAAATTTTCAATTTTTGTCTGCGATTAATTTCGTCTGCAGATGGCTGCCGCTACGGTTACTTTCACTCCAATTACGGCTGCTGTTTTTGCCTCTTCTTCTGAGCGGAGAATATCCGTTAGATTACCGGAATTTCGACGTCTCAAGATTAAACCGAGGCCGGCATCGGTCACTCTGTCGTCCAAATCGTTGAGTCCGGATCCGCGTCGGCTCAGTCGAGATGGACGTTTTGTTTGTGAGGCCCACGAGACTGCTCTTGATGGTAGGTTTCGTCGTTTCAATTCAATTCGGTTAAATTAATTTGACGTTTCTGTTATAATTGTTTTTGTTATGTTTTTGGTTTGTTTGGTGGCTTGGAAATTGAGGGAAAATGGAAGAAAATAGAAAGAATTATTTGGAGTAAAGGTAAAAGAAATTAGATTCATGTAAAAGTCAAACCTTTCTTACCTGAAGTTATCATAAACGAGCTGATCCTACCTATGTTTAAACTCAGGTTGTAATCGTCGAGGTGCCCTTTTACTCATGTTTTAGTTGAGTATTAGAGGAATTGATTGGCTCTCATTTTGGTTAACATTGTTTATCCATGGTTTATCTTTTAAAACATAAATGAAGGAATTTGAAACTCTTTTTTAGTTTTGCTTGTTCACAAATGAAACAGGATCAAGGAACAATGGAGAATTCATGTTATTGTTTATGTGACCTTGCCATTGTATTTAGAAGTGACATTTGGTGAAGTATATGTCATTGTGCTTGTTCTTGAAATTTGCAGTGCTTAATGCCAAGGATGATACATGGCAGTCACTTGTTCTTGATTGTGAATTGCCTGTTCTGGTTGAATTTTGGGCTCCATGGTGTGGGCCTTGTCGTTTGATCCTCCCTATAATTGACGAACTGGCAAAGCAATATGCTGGGAAACTCAAATGTTACAAAGTTAACACTGATGAGAGCCCTACCGTTACAAATCGATATGGAATTCGAAGCATTCCGACTGTTATGATCTTCAAGAATGGGGAGAAGAAAGATGCAGTCATTGGTGCTGTTCCCAAGTCCATCTTGACAACCTGCATTGAGAAATTCTTATAGGGTGGTAAGAAAATGTCGTCACTTTTCCTGGAAGTTAAGCACGTTCCATCGATATCTTCTTTTGTTATCTTCCAATGGTTCATGTTAAGATACCTTATGTCTGAAATAAACTCGTCTGCCCCCTGTACAGTTATGAGAAGAAGCTGTATTTTCTTTCTCTTTTAGTTAGCGTTAATTAGTTATATGTTTCTTGTTTCAATAATTTTTTTTAGTAGCTTGTTTTCATCTTTATTTATTGCTGTGGAATCTCCAGTTTATCTTTAAGGTTAGTGAGTAGGAACGGGCCTGTTGGCATCATCCTTTTTTATTGTACAAAAGAGGCCGCAGTTTGGAGATAAAGAGAAAATGTTGCAGGTATTCGGATTTGAATCCCAGCATGAATCAATTGAGCTAAGTTCTGGGTGCTGCTGGTATCATACTTTAACATGAACAAGTTTTAAGCATCAATTTGGGAAGTATCTGTTAATAAGTTGACCCATTGATTTGCTCGTTTTACTTGTCCACTGGTGTAGGGAGCAACAGCCACTGTGAAGTTCTGGTTGAGACTTCATGCTAATAACTTGGCTTTAAGTTTCAAGTAGTTGATGAAATGCTGCTGCTTCTCTTACCATGTAATAGAAGAGTTTTCTTGGAGACATATTATCCAATAATTTTGATTTTAGAGAGAATGATAAGGAGTTTGGAACTATCATTAATTAACATATAACGGTCAATAAGATACTGTTCAAATGGTCATCTGTGCGCAGATTCACACATTATCATGATTGAACATGTGGAGTGAAGAACAGAGGTGGCAACATATTTTAGGTTCTAGGATTTCTTGGACCAGAATTAATACTTTCCTAAACCTTGCATGCATCTTCCGGGTTCATGTGCAGAACATGAAGCACTTGTGCATAGCATGACTCGTATAGGTATATGTTTAATTTGGAAAGCACGTGCAAAACATGAAAATTGTCATATTATAAGTCATAGACACATTAAACTCAATATATATATATATATATATATTTATTTATCAAATATATATTTTATAAAATTTTAAATCGTGTTATTTTTGTATTATATCGTTATATTTAATTTAAAATTATTAAGTTACATTTGAATATATTATAATATTCGGAATACATCAAAATGAAAAACTTAATAAATCGATTAATTCAATCAAATTAACGGTTTTTTGATTATAACGTTTTTTTTTTTTGTCTATCTTGGGTAAATGAGACCAAAGATGTTGATGTTTTCTTAAAATTTTATGTAGACCTCTTTAAGATAAATAATCTTTTTTGTGTAATTTCAAATGTGAAGTAAGTTGTAATATTTTATTGATGAAATTGACTATTTGAAATTCAAAGGACCTTTTGTTTTTTTTTTTAAATAACTTAGATGAATGAATTTTATACCATAAAACAAAATTTTCTCACTTTTTTTAATGTAAATTTTACTAATCAATAATAATAATATCAGTAATTTTGGTATGCACAATGATTTTAAGTTTGTTATAAATTTTATAATTTATTCAGATAAAATTAAGTTTTTAAATTACTAAGTTTACATTTGGATACACTATAATGTTCTCATTTTCTCACGTGTCATCTTGGTATTAATCTGCTTGATACGCGCTGGAATTAGTTTTTCCCAACAGGGTGACAGGGCGACACGGCATTGAATAAGATAATCTTCCCACGTTCTTATCTTTAGAATTAAAGACCAACGAACATCAAATTACAAATTTCAAATTGTCTAGAAATCAAAGATTCATCAAATTCAATGATAAAAAAAAAAAAGAAATCCATGCTTTTGGAAAATTTCTAGAAATTCAACACTAAAGGAAACTTTTTTTTCTCGTTGAACGGATCGAAAACGAAAATTGAAATCATTGAAAACAAAATTGTGGAATCCCTGATTACACTCTCACTGTTGCTTCATAGACTAAAAAAAACTGTGGCCAATTCTTTCGAATTTTTTATTGTTTGAAGTTGATAGCTACTTTATTATTACAACAAAAGATATAAGAAAAAAAAATTAAAAACAAAAGGTTGTTGTTATTTAATATTTTCCACATTTAAGAGATAACAATTGCTTTTGAAAAGTCATTATTAAAAAAAAAAAATTTCTCTTGAAAAGTCATGTTCTAATTAATGGTTGATCCCTAAACTATTAGGCTAGATGGAAGGCCTTAAATTCTTAATCCTTCCATTTCAATTTCAACCATGTGGATGTTTGAATCAAGATGAAACCAAGACTGTTAAGTTGGTCTAAAATTTTTATATTTAAGGTATTAATTAATATTCCAACAAACCAAATTTTGATTGAATAATTTTAATATAAAATTATATTAAATACATACATAATATGATTTTAGTACATAAAATATTTTAATATGTATAAATATTATTAAAAAATAAACTGTTAATAAATATGTTTCATATTGATAAAAATATTAAAATTTTAATGTTAATAATTAATATTCAATCTCTAATAATTTTAACTATAAAAAATAAATATACTTTAAAATTTGAGACTTCCGCTAATAGGGAAATGGATTTCAAGAATTCATATAAACTATAGCTTCATAAAAATTATAAAAACTATTATTATTTATTAAAATAATAAAATTTAAATTAAAAAAAACTTAACCTTGCCAAAATAAAAAAAATCCAATTACTAGTGTGGCTTGAAAAGCATATAAAAGAGGAGAAAAAAAAGAAAAAAAATTATGGAAAGAATTAAAGTTTATTTTAATTGATTTATAATTAAAAATGATATTTAATAAATTTAAATTCAAAATTTAACATATGTTATTTTTTTTTTTTTTTATATTATGATTTGTTTTAAATTGTTAAATGATCATAATTAACTGCAAGTATCAAACCGTCCATTTTAATTTTGTCAAATCTTACAATATTATTCCATATATTGCCACGTGTAATCAGATGGCTGTCTATTTCATGTCTTTTCTTGTAACTCATTCATTATTGCCACGTGTAATTCACATGGCTGTCTTCCATGTTTTTCTTGAAACTCAAGATTGCTTAGAGTGAAGATTAATTTAAAGGAGTTTTAATTCTTTGGATATGACCGTCTAGTCAGCAAATTCATAAAATTTAATCCAAAGGAAAAAAATACATTATTTTTTTTTTAATGTTAACCTTATTTCAAAAAATACGCTTTTTATTTATGAGGTTGTCACATCCTTCTAGATGATCACTCTTTTTCACGGTGTAATGCTTTTATAATTTTTTTCTTTATTCTAATTAAATAGTCAAGTAAAAAATGTAGAAATTTTTTTTCAATATTATCTCATTTTACCTTTTTTTTTTTTTTAAATAAAAAGGTTCTTTAACTAAAAGAATCTAAAAAAAAGAGAAAATTCCAACAAAATCAAAGATGTGCCTAATTTTCTCTATAAATATGATGTTCTCTTGCTTTTCGTTTCTTCCCAAATGAATTTGACTCTATTCAAAAGGCTAAACATACCAAAAAAATCCCACATTTTTTCTCTTGAAAATTCTGGGTTTTGATCATAACCCATATTTAATTTTGGTCTGTTTCAGATTCTTCTTTACCGGTAAGCTCTATCTCCATCTCTTTCAAGTTCTCTTGATTTCTTTCTTTTTGGCTTTTTGGGTTTCCTGTTTGATCCTGTTTTGGCTGAAAATTTTCATCTTTCGCTTGATTTTTCATCTGGTATGTTAAATTGTTAGATATCTATAAAGGATATATATATATATATATATTTAATTTGGGTTCTTGATTCTTGAATTTATTGCATATTTTAAAGATAATTGTCTTCTTGAAAGAGGAAGAAGAAGGGGAAAAAAAAAAGAGAATTGATTTTAAAGAAGGATGTGATTTGGTTAAATATAGCGTAAAATTGTATTCTTCATGTATAGAATTCTGCCTATCTTTAAATTAAATGTCATCTTCTGTAATTTTGTGTACTATTTCTTCTAATTTGATGGCATTTCCTGCTTCAATCTTTTTTCTATTATTTCATCTTCTGGCTTTTCAATGATTAAATTGTGTTTGATCCCGTTGAAAATCAAAGAATTCTGGGCACCATCTTCTGTATTTATCTTGGGTTGCAATGGTGGAGAGCTCCATTTGTGATTGGTGGGTTGAGGAACCTTTACCTTCCTCTCAGCATTTTATCAATTTGAAGCCAGTCTGGCTAGATAATATCTTTTTATTCTGTTGTCATATGATCATTTTCTTTAGAACTCTGCATTTTTAGGAGCACACTGTCAAACTTTGCTTGTGGACATTTTGCTGTAAATGCTTCTGCATGTGCAAGTTATTTTTTGCTATATGGTGAACATTTTTCTTTTTTAATTCATGTATGGAAATGATATGATACCCTCTTTCTCTTGTCTTTCTGTATTTCAAATGATTGTGTCTTTGTGATTGGTTTACCTTTGTATACTTTCATCTGAGCTGTTTAAATTTTAACAGAATAGCTATGGAACCAAACTTCTTTGAGCAAGAACACTTTGAGTCTGATGGAGATATTTCGCTCAAGCAGAAATGGAATCCGATAACTGCACCAACAAGAGATCTTGAAAAGGATTCAGGCGGCTTTGATTGCAACATTTGCTTCGAGTCAGCACAAGATCCGGTAGTCACCCTTTGTGGTCACTTGTACTGCTGGCCGTGCATTTATAAGTGGCTTCATGTCCGAACTTCTTCCCTTGATGCAAACCAGCAGCAGCAGAACTGCCCTGTGTGCAAGGCAAACATATCTTCCAGCTCATTGGTTCCCCTTTATGGTCGTGGTAAATCTTCAGACTCTGAATCGAAGAATCCCCACTCAGATCTGGTCATTCCCAAAAGACCACCTCCTTCTGGATCAAACACTATGATCACTTCTTCGCATCCAAGTCAGCGACTTCATGAAAATTTTTTCCATTCTCAGTTTCATCACCAGCAATACTTCCCTCACCCTTATGGAGGTTATGCAACCTTGGCATCATCTAACCTCGGTGGCATAGCGATGACAAATTTCTTCAATCCGATGATTGGGATGTTAGGGGAAATGGTCTATGCCAGGATATTTGGGGGCTCAAACACAAGTTTGTTCGCTTATCCTTACCAAGCTTCTTACCCCTTTTTCGGGAATAACAATCTTAGGATGAGAAGGCAGGAAATGCAGGTTGACAAATCTCTTAGTAGAGTATCCATCTTTCTTTTCTGTTGCATTATTCTTTGTCTTCTCTTGTTTTGAAAGTATTTACTTTGAGCTTGTATAGTTGTAAAAAGATAGGTCAATGAACAAGCCAAACACAGAGTTATTGTCGGAAAATTTCTGAGGAACTCATTTCTGAGGTTTCTCTCCCATATATTTATATGTATATAGAGTACTTATTATTTGTAGGCCTTATATTTTGAACTTTGATTACTTAATAGGTATGTTATAAAATTTCAATTTTGTTATGGTCTGTAATAAGGGAAAAGTGTGCAATTAATTTTTTATATAAATATATAACTGTCAAAATTTTTGGTAAAAAAAGAAAATTTTCAACATGAATGATGTGGATATCGAATTTTGTCAGGAACATTTTAACATATTTGAACAAAGGTTTTGTGAAGCCCGGAAAAAAAAACCTCTTAAAGAGCTTATAAAATGCATTAATATTTAGGTTTAATAAACAAAAAAAAAAAAATGAGACATGAATGTCAAATTCTTTTGTTTGAGATTTATATGGTTGATATTTTTTCACATGGATGAATGAAAAATAAAGAATAAATAAAACAAGTAAATCCTAAAGTCAATTTTGATCAAAATTGTACAAAACTTGATCAAAATGAATAGAATTGGGTCAATCCTAAAAATTCACAATATAATTGGAAACAATGTGGTTTAAAATTAAATTTGATGATTTTTAAAACACTAAAAATTTTTATTGTAATGAGAGAAATATGAAATTACTCAAAATATCTTATATAAGGGTATGTTTGTAATTTGACCTTTTTAAGCTCAGATTTTCATGAAACTTTTCAAATTTTAATTTCATAATGTTTTATGTTTTTTGGTATATTTGAAATCATAGTAATACATTGATAAGTGTGAAATTACCAGAATACTCCTATAAGGGTATTTTTATAATTTAACCTTTTCGACCTCAGATTTTTATGAAATTTTTTAGACCTCAATTTTGTAATATTTCATGATTTTTGGTGTTTTAAAATCCAAAAAATGAGCATGGAAACATTGATTTATAAGAAAATGGCTTAAATACAAAAAAATTTGCATTATGGGTAAAATGCTCTTTTCATGAGTTTGGAGGGTATAAAAATCTAACATTTGCAATGAATAATGTGAATCATTGGATCTTTTATTGATTTTGATCCAGTGGCCAAAGGTGGTTCCTTAAAAAGAAAAAAAGATAAACTTTGACCATTGGATGAGATTTTATCAAAGGATCTATAATCAATAAAATGAGAATTTTTTAGGGGTTGACTTTTAAGGAAGGGGCGTCTATTGATTGGAAAGAAAGGAAGGGTTGGAGAAAGGAGGAGCCAAACACATAAAAAAAGAGGAAAGAAACTACTGGGAAAAAATAGCAAGCTAGTCGAATAGAGGAGGCGTGAAGGAGAAAAGAAAAAGAAAAAAGAAAAGGAGGGTAATTTACCGAAAATGAGTAGAAAGCTACCGAAGGAAGAAAGAAGAGGAAACTGCCAACAAAAGAACAAAAAGAAAAGAGGAAATGAAGCATTTTTTTGGAGGAAAAAGAAAAAGCAAAGGTAGCCTTATTTGTCTTTTTGTGTGGATCTTGTCATTTCCATGAACAAAGCTCCATTTTCTTTTATGTTTGCTACTTCACCCTTATTGTATAGTAGTTTGTTTGATGCAAGTTTGTTAGTGTAGTTGGATTGGTGTCCATTTTTATTGACGTGACCATTTTTTTGGTTGATGCTTTATATGTGGATATAATTGCTAATCTAATTCCAAGCTTCTTTTCATGTATTAATGCTATAAGTATTGTGGTTAGTTGGTGTTTTAAATGGTTTCTTAGAAGAGAACTAGTTAGAGGAAAGCCAATGAAGATTACGGCCTTAGAAAACTCCACCAATAACTGAAAGAAAAAAGAAGCAAAAACTTCAAAATATAGATACTAGGATTTGTAGTTGTATGACTTTTCAAAGTCCCCTTTTATCACATTTCATGATCATTAAACAAATAGAATATTGCATGGGAAGGTGACATTACTTTACGATTAGATGGTGAAGAGCCATAAGTTTTCATTTTACTTGAATAATAAACAAAAGTTTCAACACATGATTGAAAGTTGCTTGTTCTCCATAATGCCTCTTTCCATGCATGACTCATCATTCAAAGCTATTCACACTCCTTTTGCAATTCAAATTTCCTTTTTATAGAGTTCTTGTGAGTGGATCTATATGTTTGTCTTGATTTCTTATGCAATTTAAAATTTTATATTTCAATTTACTTTTAGAGTAATTTTTTTTTCATGTATGTTATATTTACACAAAATTTATTAATAATGAATTGAATGAAATTTTTTTATGATGATATATTAGAGAAATATGAGTAGCAATTCTCTAAAATGTATATGTGAGGATATTTTTCTAAAAATACTGTCAAAGTAATGGAGTATTTAGGACAATATTCAATACAAAAAAGTTTCATTTGTCTATTTTTCTAAAAATTTGATAGATGTTAATAATAATGTAATGACTAATGAAATTGGTATAATTAAAGTTTAAAAGTTAATTAAAAAATATAATTAATTAAGTAAGAAAGGAAAAAGTGAATGAAATTTTGGACAATGGGATTTTAAGGAAGTCCAAGTAGAGATTCTTAAGAAATCCTTAGGTGAGAAAATCTTTCTAAAATATTATCAAAGTATCAGAGTATATGGGAAAATTTTCAACAAAATTTTTATTTACTTTATTTCTTTCAAAAGTTCTAGTGATAATTGAAAAATACGTAAAGAAGATTAAAATATAATCAATATATGTTTTTTGTATGCACATTCTATTCAATTGTTGGCAATACATAGTTTTAAATGTAAATGAAATTTTCGATGATGGGGCCTTAGAAAGTTTGAGTAGTGATTCTTGAGAATTTTTAGGTGAGAAAAGTCTTTTAAAAATTATCAAAATATTAGAATATTTAGAAGTTTCTTTTCAATACAAAAGATTTCTATTTTATCATAATACTTAATTTGAGTAGTTTTTTTTTTTTTTTTATAAAAATATACATTTTTGGAAATAATTTTGTTTATAGATAATAATATTAATAATAAATTTAAGTAATGAGAATTTTTAATAGTAAGACTCTGAGAAGTCCAAGTAGTGATCTTAAAAAATTCTCTAGGTGATAAAAGTCTTATAAAAATTGCCAAGGTACTAGAATATTTAAAAAAAAAATTTTCAGTATGAAAATTTTTATTTTTTAATCGTTTTCTTTAATTTGAACAATTTTTTCGTAATAAATAAGAATGTGTTTTTTTTGGAAATAAATGTAATTGTAGATAATTATATTATTATATGACTTTTAATAATTGAAATAAAATTAAAATCTTTGAAGATGAGATTCTAAAAAAATCTAAGTAGTGATTATTTAAGAATTTTTAGGTAAGAAAAAATATATAAAATATCGTCACTGTATTGGAGCATTTAGATTAATTTTTGATAAAGATTTTCCACTTTTTTATAAATGACATAGAAATGAGTTTTTAAAATATACTATTTATTTTTAAAAAAATTATAGATATCATATTTTATTTTTTTAACATAAATACTGAAAATAAATATACACCACTGAAAATAGGATTTTTGAGAATTTCTAATAGAGATTATTAAAGATTTTTTAGGTGAGAAGATTTCTTTTAATATTACCAGAGTATTATAATATTTTTAGAAAATTTTTAATATAAGGTTCTTATTTTTTATGAATACATAAAAATATATATTTTTTTAAAGAAAATTAAGAAAATTAAATTTTAAATATCAAAATTAAGACCATTTTAGTCATAATTAAATGATAACACATAATTAATTGGTATCATTTTAAACAGGTGTCGTGGGGGTGCTAATCTTTACCCACGTATAACCAAATCTCGAACCCACACTGTTTTCATAAAACCAAAAATTATTTTTTTAATAAGTTTCAATTAATTTTAAAATTTTATTAAAAATATAAGTTTTAATAGGTAGCCAATCACACCTAATCAAAAAAGATTGGTGGTGACTTCATTAATTTGTTTTCAAATTTGTTTAGTTATCCTCAAAATTGTTATGACAGATGATTAATATTATTGACATGTGAACGATCTTGAAAATTCACCATATACCCTATATTTTATTTTGTTTGAATAATTTAAAAAAAATTAAATCAATAACATTTATTTTGTATTATTATTTACTTTAAGTCATTCTCAGTGAAATTCATATTAAAGCTAATAAAACTTTGATAGCTATCATCATAGGAAAATTTTTTGTTTTTTTCAATTATAATATTTAACTCTTAAATTATATTAGTGTAAAAAAAATCACTTTTTAATTTTGAAATTTATAACCTATTTATTTACTCCACCTTTTAAACCATGTATACTTTTAAACTACATATACATGTTTAATACGTGTATATATATGTATATATATATTAATTTTAAAATGATTAATAGATGATCAAATCAATTAAAATTAATTTTGGAATATATCAAATAAAATGAATTTATTACCATTATTACACTAATTTCAAAATTCTTATTTTTTTTTATTTCTCCTAAACAAGTTAAATACATAATATGTTTGATTATTCTAATTGTCAAATATAAATTACTTTTAATTTAAAATCTTATTACTGAATTTGATTTGATTCTTAAATTCATTTTAGTCAATTAGATATTTAAAAATTACAAATCGACCCATAATTATTTTCAAGACCATTCTATAAATAAAGGTGTTTTGGGATACTTAAGAAATAAATTATATCCCTACAATATTTTTTTTCCCATTATCGTGATATTCTTTTGCCATGTAGTAAACCTAGCTTAGTTCTCTTTCTTTTTGTTTGTGATGCTCTATATATAGATGGATTAGATGCTTAAATTATTTTATGTTTGGTTTTGTATTATTTTTGGTACCGTTTTATTTTTTCTTTTGTGTTAAGATTTTTTAGATTAATTCTTTATCATAGTTGTATAATGATTTTTTTAAAAATCATTTTGAAATTTTTTTTAAAATTAAACAAAAATCTTTTGAAAATTTAATGTTTTGGTTTTCTTTTTAAATTTTGACTAGTACTATTACTATTAGTTCTATTATAGTTTAAACTATACATATATTGTTTATATCTTTATACATTTTTTTTTTAGTTTTTGTTATGATACCGAT